CTGCTCCGGGGCGCGCCTCTCCTTGTCATTGTCACCCGTCCGTCTGATTTGCAGTAGATAGCTGCTCTCATTCTGCCGCGCCGTCATCTCTCTGATCTTCAGACTTCAGGGGCAGGGCCAGAAGGAATGAAGGCACCATTGCTCGCTTTTCCCCTCCAGACTCAGGAGGGAACGCCGCATGCTTGGCATCAGGGCGCCCTCGGGACCCCGTAGCCCGGATCCGTGCTGTACACTAACTGCAGGGGGGACAGGGTGCCGGGGCGACGCCTCTGTGCCCTGGAATGTCGGGTGGGGTCTCAGCTCGTCCCAGGCGGCCGGATACCCTCGCTCAGCACCGAGAATGGCAGCGGTCGCTGATGCGAAGAACCTGGGGCGCTACAAAGTTGTGATGGAGGCAGGTGCTCCCCAGAGCTGGTTTCCTGTGAGGCTCGAGTTTTGTGGCTTGGCTTCCCCCGGTCCGCGCGTCTTTCTCTCCGCCCTTCCCGGCTGCTCTGAGTTCTTGGCCAGTCTGCTCGGTCAAGGTGTTTTCTGTTACTTGGAGTCTGCAGCCCAGGCCGACACAGACAGCACCTGGAGCGCCCGGGGAGCACCCGGATGCCGCTGCTGGCACGGGTTCCGCGGGGGAAGCTAATGAAGCCCCTCCCAGAGGTCGGGGACCTGCCCTTTGCCCTCATGAAATACGCATGAGGCAGAATGAATAACACACGGCCCCGGTCAAGTGGTGCTGCACCCCGGGCAGCCTCTCACGCGAAGGTCGGCTTCTTCCTTTTGTTCTGTCTGCAGACGCTAAGCCGTCAATCACGGCTGGTGAGTGGGAGCTGCAATCCCCGTGGTGGGCAGGGGAAGGCCTCTGGCCTTTAACACACCCCAGAACCAATTTTCTTCCCAAATAGAGTCCTGTAGCTGAGAAATTTGGTAAATTGGGTTTCCAGTGGTCCAAATAGGATTGTGACTATTGGGAGAATTTATTTGCTTTCAAGTAAGAGCTTTTTTAAGCCAATTTTGAAAATTCTCCCCAAGAGTTACTGCAGCAAATCTGCTCCGTTGCTTCATCAAGTGTTGGTCCTGGGTGCTCTCCAGAGCCCCGCAAGCGGTCAGCTTCCTTCCTTTAACAGCCGAGCTCTGTGTGAGCTGGGCAGTCCTGGTCCCGCCCAGGCAAATGGCCGGCAAAGGCTCCAGTCTTCTCAGAGACTTGGAGTGACGCTGGCTGCAGAGTTGCACACAGATTTCTTCTTTGGCTCTGTCAGCGTGCTGTGCGCCACGGCATCTGTCTGATGGAGACAGGGCCGAGTAGAGGTGCCGTATGTGGATCTCAGGGGCTCAGGGGCTCAGGGGCCCCGGCTCACGATGGACGGGAGTGAGCCCTTGTCTCTGCTGTGGCTAATTCCTGGGCAGCCCCTGGCCTGGCCTGGCAGGGTGTGTCTGAGCTGTGGCATTAGCAGCCAGCCTCGAGGTCACCAGGCGTGAATGTGGTGTCCAGTTGGCTGAAACCAGCAGCTAACATGTATGGATGCATGCTTTAGACTCACGTGTTCATGTGTTTAGCCCCCATATCAACTGCGTGGAATGGGAGGGATTGGCTCCCCCGCTTTGCAAAGAGAGAAAATGAGGTGGAGCCGTGCACATCACCCACCGCCGCCTGTGGGAGCCAGGACCCGTGCCCCGCATCTCTGAACATCCACACAGGAATCCTGACTCCACACGGGCTCCCGTGTGGGCGCCCTGGCCCTGCCCTCTGCCCCTCTTCCAGTCTTTCCTGTCTTTCCCATTCCTCAGGGACAGTGCCCCTGGGCGGCCCGTGTCGCTCGCATGTCGTGTGGAGTTCCCGTGTTGTCACAGCAGTGGGCCAGAGCAGGGGCATTTTCCAGGGTTCGAGGCTCCCGGGCATCCCTCTCGGGCTCAGGCAGGCTTCGGACCATTGGGTTTTTGCCACGTCCAGCACTAGAGAAAGTGAGTCGTTGCTGAGTGCAGCCAGTTAGGTAGCCAAACAGCTCCTGGGCATCCCGTGGGTGTGGCCATGCCAGCTCTGCTGTGACAAGGAGACACAGGGGCCCCGGGGAAGAAGGCGGGTCTGAGCCCGTGGTGGGGGCTGGCCCGAGCATTGTGGGGGAATTTCGCAGACGGCACCGTGTAGAGCAGGCTCCGCCCTGAAGGCTCCGGCTGCGGCGTGGAGAGCGCCCCTCCCAGTGTGGAAGCCCTGGCCCTCACTCCCCAGGAGCCGTAACTCCCTCCTGGCGTTTGCAGCCCAGGGCTCGACGGCCTGGACCTTGGCGTTTGCAGCCCAGGGCTTGATGGCCTGGGTTTCCTTTCCCAGCAGACAGATCCTGGCATCTCATCAATCGTGATTCCCTGGGTCTCACTCCCTGCCCGGGGAATTAACGAAGATTCATGAGTCCCAGTGCTCTGGTGGGTGCAGCAAGCCTGCCGCGGCTCCCTGCCCCCACCACCGAGCAGCAGGGAGCGTGGGGTGGAAAACAGTGAGCCCTGGAGATGGGTGCACCTGCAGCCCACGGGCACCCCGGCACAGGGAGGGACTCCCCACTGCTCTTCCCCGCTCTCGGGGCCAGTGTGTGCTTTGGTCTTTGTTGCGTGCAGTGGAAAACCCCTTCGATTTGCCTGCAAACATGCAGCCTTCCTAGGAGGTGCCTGAGATGAGGAAACGCTCACGGGCCCTGGGCCACCTGCACAGCCGGCGTTCTTAGACTGCCCGCCTTCCTCATTTCCGGCAGCATCGGCTCTGCCGAGTCCACAGCCCTGGAAGGCCGGCTCCTTCCCACACTTCCTGCCACAGGCACTGTCAGACTTCTGCAGGATTCCAGGGAGTGAATGCTGTCGGCTTTGCAGGATATCCTCACCTGATGCAACTGCTAAACTATGCTGAAGAAAAAAAGAAGAAGAAGCAGAAGATGGGGCCGGCGCTGTGGTGTAGCGGGTAAAGCCGCCACCTGCAGCGCCGGCATCCCATATGGGCGCCGATTGGACTCCCAGCTGCTCCACTTCCCACCCAGCTCTCTACTATGGCCTGGGAAAGCAGTAGAAGATGGCCCAAGTCCTTGGGCCCCTGCACCTGCATGGGAGACCTGGAGGAAGCTCCTGGCTCCTGGCTTCAGAGCGGCGCAGCTCTGGCCATTGCGGCCAATTGGGAAGTGAACCAGCAGATGGAAGACCTCTCTCTCTCTCTCTCTATCTCTGTAACTCTGACTTTCAAATTAATAAATAAATCTTTTTTTTTAAATAAAGGACTCAGGGTACTGGGAATGTGACCACGTCAATGCAGTCTTTAAAAAAAAAAAAAAAAAGTGCCATTTACTTATTTCAAAGGCAGGGATCCTCCGTCTGCCGGTTCACGCCCCAGATGACCACAACAGCCTGGGCTGGGCCACACCGCGGCCAGGAGCCAGGAGCTCCAAGGGGCTCTCCCACATGGCAGGGGCCCAAGTCCTTGGGTCGTGACCTGCTGCTTCCCCAGGTACGTTAGGGAGCTGGGTCAGAAGCAGAGCAGGCAGGACTCAAACCAGCGCTGCAGTGTGGATGCTGGCGTCGCCAGTGGGAGCCTGACCCACTGCACCACAGCTGTGCTTTGTCACCAGGAAAGCAGCCACAGACAGCATGCGTGCAGGCGGCCGGGCTCTGCTAGAGTGCCCCAGAGTCCCCAGGTGCCTTGTGATGCTGTCTCTGACCCCAGCCTCCTTCGGGGAGGAAGTGGGGCTGCCACCGTCATGGTGACTCCGCCACCGGCGAGCTGTGTGGCAGACACGTTGTCTTCCCTTCCTGGGCCTCAGTCCATCATCTGCTCAGCCAGGATTTGTGCTCAAGCGCAGCGGGGTGAGCTTGCTCCAAGCACATTCCTGAACTCTTCGCTAGGCGCGCTGTCGGTCAGATTCTTAGCAGAACTGCCCTGGCCAAGCAGTCCAGCGCAGCACAGACAAGAGAAACAGCCAGGCTCACCGAGGCCAGGGCTGGAAATGGCACTGCCGGCGCTTGGGGAACAGCGCGAGGGCCTGGACACCGGGAGCACCCCTCCGCTGCCCCCCAGAACTGCGACACAAGTTCACCCGGAAGTCCCAGCTGCGGATCCTGAGCCCGCGCTGTGGCCAGGTCCCCAGTGGGCGCGCCTGGCACGGTGGAGCCTGGGGAGGCGGCTCAGCCGCTCAGCTCCTGTGAGAGAGTGGGACCTGCTGCAGGGGCTGGAGGGTAGCGTGGGGGACGCACCTGCGAGGCTGAGCTTGAAAGAGGCCTGCCTGCCCCAGAGGCCATCCGGGTTTCTGCTGCGAGTGTCTGGTAAACTGGATTGACCCTTCGTAAGAAGAGTGATGGAAAAGTACTCCAAGGGCCACATCAGCACTGCTTGTGTGCCACATAATCCTGACCTTGACCTTGACCCTAACACTAACACCCTAACCCCCTAACCCTAGCCCCCAGCTCCCTAACACCCTGACCCTGACCCTAACCCTAACCCCTAGCCCCCTAACACCCTGACCCTAACACTAACACCCTAACCCCCTAACCCTAGCCCCCAGCTCCCTAACCCTAACACCCTAACCCTGACCCTAACCCTAACCCATAGCCCCCAACACCCTGACCCTAACACTAACACCTTAACCCCCTAACCCTAACATCCTAACACCCTGACCCTAACCCTAACCCCTAGCCCCCTAACACCCTGACCCTAACCCCTAACACCCTAACCCTGACCCTAACCCTAACCCCTAGCCCCCTAACACCCTGACCCTAACACTAACACCTTAACCCCCTAACCCTAACACCCTAACCCCCTAACGCTTTAAATATCAGATTTGAATCCTAACACCCTAACACCCTAACCCTAATCTAAAGCTTCTTAACTTGTGTAGGGGCCGCTCCATCCCTGCCACCTGGGCCCGGGTGCCCCAGAGCGGCTCCTTGGTCCTATGCTCTGGGGACACGTGGGGGCAGGGGAGGGCGCAAGGGGCGCGTCCCGAGGTCAGAGCCGGCTGAAGCGTGCTCCTCTCTCCTTCCAGAAGCAGCAGTCCCTTCAGCGAGGTCGCGCAGCTCGACTTTGAAGTCACCAGCTTCAGCAGCCTGTCGGGCACCCAGCCC